AGAGCAGCGCCCGCTCGCCAAAACTAGAGAAAGCCCACATGCAGCAACAAAGGCTCAACGCAGTCAAAAATAAATAAATAAAATCATTTATTAAAAAAAAAAGTGAGAATGTGGAGAAATTGGAACCCCTGTACACTGTTGGTGGGAATATAAAAATGGTACAGCCACTATGGAAAATAGTAGAGAGATTCCTCAAAAAATTAAAAATTGAACTATCATATGATCTAGCACTCCCATTTCTGGGCATATATCTAAAATAATTGAAAGAAAGATCTCAAAGAGATATCTACACTCCTATGTTCATTGCAGCATTTTTCACAATAGCCAAGATGCAGAAACCACTTAAATGTCCATTAATGTAGCCTAGATAAAGAAAATGCAGTATATATAATACAGTGAAATATTGACCAGCCTTAAAAAAGAAGAAAATTCTGCCATGTGCAATAATATGGATGAACTTTGAGGACATTATGCTAGATGAAATAAGCCAGTCACAGTAGGACAAATACTGCATGATTCCATTTATCTAAAATAGTCAAGCTCATAGAAACAGAGAGTAGAATGGTGGTTGCTAGGTGCAAAGGAAATGGGAGGTATTGTTCAATGGGTATAAAGTTTCAATCATGCAAGATGAACAAGTTCTAAAGACAAATATAGTGCCTCAGTAGCAACAGTACAACATAGTACCTGTACAACACAGTGCCTATGGTAACAATACCATTTGTAAGCTTAAAATTTAAGAGGGTAAATCTCATGTTAAATGGTCTTACCACAATAAAACATAAATAAATAAGATGTACGGATACAGAAAGATCAAAAGTAAAGGAATTTAAAAAGATATCCCAGGCAATTACTTACCAAAAGTAAGCCAGTGTGTAGCTACATTAATATGAGAAATCACAGACTGTAAGGGAAAAAGTATTATTAGGGTTAAAAAAGACCACATAATGATGAATTATAATTCATCAGAAACATATAATGATCCTGATGCTATGAGAACCTAGTAAAGCCTCAAAAGTTAGGTGTGGCCTTGTTACTTCTGGGTGGAAGCTCTAAGAATTAGCATGTGCTTTGCCACATGCCCTTGTTTTCCTCCACCATGGCAATCAGGACTGTCCAGATGGTACCTTCTCCATCAGCCTGGGTCCTAGAGTGGGGATAATGAAAATACTACTAGCAATTCATGATGCACATGGAGCATGAGTAAGAAATAAATCTTTACTGGGCTGCTTGTTTCTGACAGCTTTATTGAGGTAAAATCAGCACACAATGAACTACACATATTTAAAGTCTACAATTTGTTAAGTTTTGGCACACATATGCACCTGTAAAGCCATCACCACAATCAAGGTATTGAACACATCCAATATCCCCCAAATTTCTTCATGTCCTTTGTGGTCCCCCCTCTCATCATCACCCTCTGCTTGGTTCCATGTGACCACTGGATCTGCTGTGGTCATTGTAGATCACTTGCATTTTCTGCAATTTTATATACATGGAATCATACAGTATGTACCCTTGTTTGTCTTTCAATCAGCACAATTATTTTGAGATTCATGCATGCTGTAGGGCTCATAAATAGTTCATCCATACTTATTGAGTTGTATTCTGTCATATAGCTGTACATTTATGTATTTATCCATTCACCCATGGATGGACATTTTGATTGTTTCCAGTTTTTGGCTATTACAAATAAAGCTACTATGAACATTCCTGTAGAAGTCTTTGTGTGGACGTATGCTTTCATTTCTCTTGGGTAAATACCTAGGAATGGCTGGATCAGATAGTAGCTGTATATTTACCTTTTAAAGAAACTGCCAAACTGTTTTACAAAAGTGTACAATGGTGGTTTTAATTTTCATTCCACAGTGACTAATAACATTGAAAACCTTTTCATGAGCTTATTTGTCCATCACCCATATATCATCTTTGGTGAAGTGTCTGTTTGAATATCTGCCCATTTTTTATTGGGTTGTTTGTTTTCCTTTTCAACTCAAAACTTCTGACCTTTGGAAGACACTGTTAAGAGAATAAAAACACCGCTGAGGACAGGTTGTGTGTGTAACTATAAACAGTAGAACAAGGGAGATCTTTGTGGTAGTTTTGTATCTTGATTGTGGTGGTGGTTACACAAATATGTACATGTGATAAATAAAACATACATAGTATCAATGTTAATATTCCTGGTTTTGATAGTATATCATAATTATGTAAGATATAACTGTGAGATAATAGGAAATATATATATTGGTCTCTGCCCCTGGTTCCTGGCCCAGAGCTCCTAAAACCCTTGTGATTTCCTAAGTGATAAGAGCACTAGGAGCATCGTTTGTTCCAATATTTTGTCTTTGACCCCATCCCTGATATAGGGTGCTAAATCCCTTGGAATTTCCTGTGTGATAGGAGGGTCGTTTGTTCTAATGAAATGACTCTGGGTGGACCCCCGGATGGCTCTTAAATGGGGGCTGGTCACCAGAAAGACCAAGCCATAATAAGAAGCTGGGGATCCGGCCCCCCACCCCCGCACCCCCCCTCCCCTGCCACAGAGGCTGAAAATAGAGTTAATAATTGATCATGCCTGCATGAGGAAGCCTCCATAAAAATCTCAACAGAAGGGGTTCGTGGAGCTTCCAGCTTGGTGAACACATCCACCTTCTGGGAGGGTGATGCAACCCAACTCCACAGGGTCAGAGGCTCCTGTGCTTGGGACCCTCCCAGACCTCGCCCTATGTATCTGTCTGTTCATCTGGCTATTCATGTGTGTCCTTTATCATATCTTTTAATAAACTGGTAAACGTTAAGTCAGTGTTTCCCTGAGTTCTGTGAGCTGTTCTAGCAAATAACTGAATCCAAGGGGGAGGAAGTCATGGGAACCTCCGATTTGTAGCTAAGTTGGGCAGAAGCTGTGGCTAGTCATGGGGTCCTACTATTTGCCATTGGCCTCTAAAGCATGTGTGTGTGGGGGGAAGACTCATGGGAATGAGCCCTTAACCTGTGGGATTTGATGCGTCTCCAGGTTGATTGTGTCATAATGGAGTTAAGCTGTAGGACAACCAGCTGGTGTTGCGGAGAATTGCTTGTGAGGAACCTATCCCCCCGCCACATGCACACATCTGGTGTCAGAAGTGTTGTGAGTGTGGTAGTGGTGTGAAAGTAAAGGAGAAACACAGGAGGAAGACTGGGTTTTTCTAACTCAATAACCACTGAGGGAAATTGGGTGAAGGGTATACAGGGCCTCTGTACCATCTTTGCAACTACCCGTGAATCTAAAATTATTTCAAAAAAAAAATTAAAAAGAAAATAAACAAACCCCAGACTTTCTAAAATAAATGGTGTTTGGACAATTGATTATATATTAGGGAGAAAATAAAATTGGATCCCTATCTTACAATATACATAAAAGTCAACCCCTAGAGTATTAAAGACTTTAATATGAATAGAAAATTATTAGAGAAGACAGTATGGAAATTGTCTTTGTGACTGCAAGATAGGAAAATATTTCTTAATGTTCAAAAAAGAGCACACCAAAAGGAAGAAAATCAATAAACTTGACTACATTTATATTGAGCATTTTTGATTCACATAAAGAGAGTGAAAAGATAAGCTACAAACTGAGAGAATAATTGCAACACATAAAACCGAGTAAGATTTAATATCTAGGCTATATAAGTTACTTCTATACATCAATAAGAAAAGATAATTCAATTAGCAAAATGGACAAAGAAATGAATGGTATTTTCACTTAGGAGAAAGCATAAATAATCCATAAACATTTGGAAAAATTTTCCAGTTCATCTGAAATCAGGGAAATGAAAGTTGAAATCATAATAAAATCCAATTACACAGCCACCAAAGGCAACAGTTAGATAATAGTGAATGTTAGCTAGAATATGGACTAAAGGGAACTTTCACGTGTTGCTGATATTGGTGTAAACTGGAAAAGTTCCCTAGGAAAATAGTATGTCGTTACCTTAATAAGTTGAACAATGCATACACTCTACAAGCTAGGAATTCTACTATGAGGTATACTTCCTAGAGAAACTCTTGCACATGGGCAGCAAGAGACATGTAGAAGAATGTTTATAGCTGCATTGCCTATAATAGCAAAACATACAAACAAACAAATATAACAAAAATGATGGCTTCATCATTTTGAGATTTATGTTATTGCATGAAGCTGCATTTGATTTTCACCACTCTGTTGTATGAATACTGTTGTACTGGGGGAAATGCCACAACTTATTTACCTATTCTTTTCATTAAAAGCCCTAAAGCCAGACTGTTTTACGGGTGAATCTTTACTAAACTTTCAAAGGAACAGATAATTCTTATCTTATACATGTTATTCCAAAGGGGAGAAATTATCCAACTCATTTTTAAGAGGTTAATATAATACTGATACCAAGACCACTTAAGGGCTGTAGAATGGACAACCTCATTTGTGAACATGGAGGGAAAATTCTAAATAAAATATTAAAATTTAAACCTAGTAGTAAATTTAAAAATAATGTATTACATACAACCAGCGTACAACTTATTCTAGGAATGTAAGGATTCTTGAAAATTAAAAACTGTCAGTGCTTTTGGCTTCCTAACCTAGTCCCACTACTTATTTGTAGGCAGTAAATAGCACAGGCAAGGAGAACAATCCAAGCAGTAAGCCACTACAGTTACTGTGATCCAGGACAAATTATATGGAGGACCAGGGAATGAATGTCTGGGGTTCATTCATACAGCAAGGCTAATGATTTCAACATACGGATAAAACAGATGTGCAACTGCATGATTTATTAACTTTAACTAGGTTGAAGTTGACAGGAAAAACACCTGTCTTATGGATCCAGAACCCAGAAGCTCTCCTGGGTGTAAAGGCTCAGGATAATGTTTTTCTTTCAGGACATCATGTCTTTGTCTTCTGCATAAATCCCTTGTAGCTGCCTCCCCAGATCTTCCCCCAAGGTAGAGTTAACATCTCTAACTTCCACTTATTTCATTTGCAGGTGGTATTATTGCCTTAGAAGATCACAATTTTACAACCATCATGTAATGAATAGATTCAGGTAAGGATCATCAATGTATATACTAAAACTATTGGGTGAAAGATTGTTGCAGAACAGGAAATTTACATGGTTTCAAAGTATCATTCCATAGGTTAACTGATTAACTATAAAGAGGAAAAGGTAACTTTAAAGTAGAATTCTGATGGATACCACCTGAAACAAATTATCAAATTTACCATCACCCATAACAAGGCAAACTGACATTATGTGCCTCTTGATGTGATGTGATGGGAGGTACACATCATCACACATATAGTATTTTTGCCAAAAATGATTCACCTGAATCTAATTGTTGAGGGGAAGGTGACCAAATCCAGATTGTGGGACATTCTAAAAGACAACTTCCCTGGACTCTTCAAAAACAGTAGAGTCATGAAAGACCACCTATGTGTGTGTGCATTGCATACATGCATGTGTATGTGTACTGTTCTAGATTAAAGATAAAGATAAAAGGATACTAAAAAGGCTTGACAACCAAGGCTTGATCCTTAACTGGATCCTTAACTGGATCCTTAACTGGATCCGTAACTGGATCCTTAACTGGATCGTTAACTTAAAAGGCTTGATCCTTAACTGGATCGTAGATCAAATAAGAAAAAAGTTATAAAGGAAATTGGTGATAATTGATGAAATTTTGCTATGTTATTGTATATTAAATACATTAATGTTAAATTCCTTGGATGTAATAATGGTATTGCAGATATTCAGGAGAATGTTCTTGTTAACGAACTACATGCTGAAGTGTTCAGGCATAAAGCATCTTCATGTCTGGAACTTTCAAATAGTTCAGCAAAAAGAGAAAAAAGTACATCGATGGATATCCAGATAAATAAAATGTGGCCAAACGTTAACAACTGGCGAATCTAGGTAATGGATAAGCTATTAATTCATTATACCGTAAGTTCACCTTTTCTGGGGATTATTTTTCAAAATAAAAAGTTGGGGGAAAAAGCAAAAAGAAAAAACTAAAAAAAAATGCACTACTACAGCTGGCAAAAGGCAAGGGCAGCAAGGGAGAAAGGATATGCAGTGCAAAATTACAGAAACTTTAATCTTACTTGGTTAATCACCCACTGTGTTCTTGAAACCCTCACTTTTGTGGTCACAAAAATGGAAACATTCCATACTTTTTGTTTTTCTCCTCTCTCTTCATAAGGTCTGACTCATCTGAATAGCTTCTCCTGAATTTACTTATTAGTGAATTACTTATTTATTTCTTGGTAGTTAACCTTGATGCTTTTCCCACCTGCTATATAATAAACTCCCCTTCTCAATTCCCCCCCCATTGATCAATGCTGTCTTTTCAACAAGTGAAATTCACCTTAATAGCTTAAAGGAGGAAAACTATATGATTGTTGCCCTCAGTGCAAGGAAAGCACACAATAAAATTCAGTGCCTCTTAAAAAGTGAGAAAAGAATTTCCTTAATATGAAAAGGAGCATCTGTAGCAAAACCTCCATCAAACCTCATACATTAAAGTACAAGTATGCTTATGAACCTTAGAAGCATTTCCTTTAATAGTGGTAATGAAGTAGACCATTAGGATGCAGGGTACTTCTATCACCACTAATGTTCAGTGTGATATTGGAGGTCCTGACCAAAACAATAAGACCAGAAAATGAAAGAGTAACTCTAAGGATTGGAAAGGAAGAGATTTATTTGCAGATTATATGATCATTTGCATAAAAATAATCATAATAAGAATAGCTAATGTGTATTGAGTACTTAATGTATTGCAGGACCTGTTCAGTAAGCATTACATGTATAAACGCCACTTAATCCTACTTTAAAACAACCCTAGGAGATACGTATAACTATTACCCCATCTTACAGATAGTGACACCAAGGCACAGAGAAGGTAAGAAATTCGCTCAAGATCAACCAGAGCAGCTAATTCTAGGCCCTTAAGTTTTAATCACTCTTCTGTATTATAACTTTACTGTCATCAACGCAACTTGCGACAAAGAGAGGTATGAGAGGTAGTCAAGAGCCAATGCAATAAAATTAGTATGTCTTTAGAGCTAGAGGAGAAGGCGTAACAGTGGTTCTCAATATTGGCTGCATACTGGAATCACTTGGAGAGCTTTGAAAAATCCTGATGCCCAGCCTGCACCCAGACCAATTACATCTGAATCTTGGAAGAAGGGTGGAAAGGCCTCGTTAGGGCCCAGCCGCTCCGTGGCATGTGGGATCCTCCCGGACCGGGCACGAACCTGTGTCCCCTGCATCGGCAGGCGGACTCTCAACCACTGTGCCCCCAGGGAAGCCCCGCCTCAGTAGTTTTTAAAGAACAATTGCATTAAAATGTCTTAAGAGAACTCAAGAATCCATTCAAATTGTGGTGTTAAGTTTCCTTTCTTGCAAGCTGGGTGAGGTTGCACACTCTGAGCAGATGAATTACAGAAGGGTGTAATTTGAACCCAGGAGAAGGATAGGGACTAGAAGTCCCACATTGTGGTGGAGACTGTAAAAAGGTCTCAGTGTATCCACATGTGGCTCAGACAGAGTCATCCTGAACCCTGCAAAGCTCAGGTGTCAAATCTCTGACTGATAATGACTTATTGTGCTAATAAATTGTCAACCCAATAGCCTCGACTTGTTTAAGGTGTCAATCTCAGCCTTCCTAAGAAGGTAACTATATCACAGCCAGGACCTGTTAAGCTGGTTACCTCAATGTGGCCTCCCTAGATGGTAACTCTATCATGATTGTGAATTGTTGACCCAGTAATCTGAAATCCCTGGAGACAGTAGAACTTCTTTTTCAGTGCGTAAGTGGCCTTTCAAGTCTGAAAATGCTTAGAATTAAATATAGAAATGGGGACTTCCCTGGTGGTCCAATGGCTAAGACTCCATTCTCCCAATGCAGGGGGCCCAGGTTTAATCCCTGGTCAGGGAAGTAGATCCCACATGCTGCAACTAACATTTCGCATGCCGCAACTAAAGATCACACATGCCACAAGTAAGACCCAGCGCAGCCAAATAAATAAATAAATATAGAAATAAAAAATAAATCAAACCTATCACATAAAATACTTTTGTGTTTAAAATAATTGTGTGTATGTGTTTGGTACTTAAAATGTAATTTTGAAATAATATGGCATATTGAAGAATCTAAGAGATTAGCCTAGTTTGGTAGATTAGACCTATGAAATGTAAGGAAATTTAATTGTTTGTAAATAATAATATTCTTTTTTATTTATTTATTTTTTTTGCGGGACGCGGGCCTCTCACTGTTGTAGCCTCTCCTGTTGCGGAGCACAGGCTCCGGACGCGCAGGCTCAGCGGCCATGGCTCACGGGCCCAGCCGCTCCACGGCATGTGGGATCTTTCCGGACCGGGGCACGAACCCACGTCCCTTGCATCGGCAGGCAGACTTTCAACCACTGCGCCACCAGGGAAGCCCAATAACAATATTATTTAAAAAAAAAATTTTTTTTTGGCCATGACGTGCAGCTTGTGGGATCTTAGCTCCCCGACCAGGGATTGAACCCAGGCCCTTGGTGATGAGAGCACAGAGTCCTAACCACTGGACCACCAGGGAATTCCCATGTAAATAATATTAGAATACTAGATCTACTAGATCTATATGTTATTTATTTATTTTAAAATTTATTTATTTATTTATTTACTTGTGGCTGCTTTGGGTCTTCGTTCCTGCATGCAGGCTTTCTCTAGTTGCAGCAAGTGGGGGTTACTCTTCGTTGCGATGTGCGGGCTTCTCATTGCCGTGGCTTCTCTTGTTGTGGAACACGGGCTCTAGGCGCACGGGCTTCAGTAGTTGCAGCACACGGGCTCAGTAGTTGTGGCTTGCGGGCTCTAGAGCGCAGGCTCAGTAGTTGTGGCACATGGGCTTAGTTGCTCTGTAGCATGTGGGGCCTTCCCGGACCAGGGCTTGAACCTGTGTTTCCTGCACTGGCAAGAGGATTCTTTTTTTTTTTTTTGCGGTATGTGGGCCTCTCACTGTTGTGGCCTTTCCCGCTGTGGAGCACAGGCTCCGGACGCGCAGGCCTAGCGGCCATGGCCCACGGGCCCAGCCGCTCAGCGGCATGTGGGATTCTCCCAGACCGGGGCACGAACCCGTGTCCCCTGCATCGGCAGGCAGACTCCCAACCACTGCGCCACCAGGGAAGCCCTGGCAGGAGGATTCTTAACCACTGCGCCACCAGAGAAATCCTGATCCATATGTTATTTATATATATGTAACAAATTTTTGTTAAGTACTTGGGAAGAATTTGCTCGCTAGAGATGAAAGTTGATTGAGCAGGCATATGATGGGTGTAAAATGAAAAGAGAATACTTGAAATTTATATTCAGTTTACAATGTTTAATGAAATTACATTTTATAAATTTTAAAATGGGTTTTTTTTTGTGTGTGTGTGATACCCGGGCCTCTCACTGTTGTGGCCTCTCCCACCTCGGAGCACAGGCTCCTGATGCGCAGGCCCAGCGGCCATGGCTCACTGGCCCAGCCGCTCCGCGGCATGCGGGATCCTCCCAGACAGGGGCACGAACCCACGACCCCTACATCGGCAGGCGGACTCTCAACCACTGTGCCACCAGGGAAGCCCCAAAAATTGGAATTGTTTAACAGAGTTTAATTGTTCTGCCTGAGTTACCCGAACAATAATAAAAGATCCCCTTAAGCCTAATCATTATTTTTATATAAATATAATCAATTTATAAATAGAATAATATATTTGTAAGTTGAAGTTTTAAATAAAGCCAAGGTTTTGAGTTTGTAGATGAAAAAATTTAATATTAATTTAGAACTTAAAATGCTGTAGTGTTTTGTGCTCACAAAATCTGCCCTCAGACATGAAAAAAAATCACATCAACGCTATTATTATCTGCATTTAACTGATGAAGAAATGGAAGCTCAGGAAGGTTAAGAAAACAGGAATCAACTCCATGCGTGTGTGGCTTTAAAGCCTGTGCTCTTAACCAGTGTGCATGTGGTTTCCCTGATGGATCAACCTCCTGAAAAGTCAAATGACTTTGGA